CCTATTTAAGGAGCTGTGATTTGGAATAAAGCATTCAGTTTCCAGTTAAGAGAAGAGTGAGGAGAGTTCGGGTGGTCTCTTGGACAAATCACCCATTCGGTTTTCCACAATAGGGTCTGCACGCAAGGGAAGGCGCAAGGGGAAGCAAGAGGTTCTCCCCGTGGTCAGACCCGTGACGAGATCCTATGCGCGGGCCCATAACATTCTGGTATCAGAGCCTACCGTCATGGGGGAACAGGAGCCGCTGTCTTCCAAGGTCCACGAACTGGAGCATAGGCTTGCAGAAACCAGCATGGAGGTTCGTGAAGTCAAGGATGATGTCCGAGAACTGCGATGCCTGCTGGAAGAATTCCTCTCCAACAAAGAAAGAAGTTCTAAGGGAACCGCCACCACCAACAGTCGTCGTCCGGACTGGGCAGAGACGTCCAGCGAACAGCAGATCGCTGCCCCGACAGCCGCAGTTATTCCCAAGTATAGCCGGCTGGAATTCCCGTCTTACAACGGCACCGGAGACCCGTTAGGATGGTTGTATCGCTGCGAACAGTTCTTCCGTAATCAGCGCACTGATGACAAAGATAAGGTCAGTCTAGCCGCCTTCCACCTATCAGAAGAGGCACAGCTCTGGTTCTACCGACTGGAGCAAGAACCCGGGCTCAGTTGGGGGTAGTTTAAATCATATTGTCTCCTCAGGTTTGGACCCCCGTTGACAAGCAACCCGCTGGGCGAGTTAATCAACCTCAAGCAAACTGGAACCGTGGCAGAATACCAACGCCAGTTCCAAACCCTTCTCGCCAGAGCAACCTCGGTTCGCGCAGATCAGCAAGTAGATATGTTTACAGCAGGGTTAGTAGAACCCCTAAGAGTGGACGTAGAGATGCAACATCCTCCTAACCTGGTCACAGCAATGAACCTCGCGCGCACCTTCAAACGGAAAATGCAGCTCTCCCACGGAAACCTCAGTATGGGGCGGCCGGCAACTACCTGGGCACCTTCGAAGACAGCAGGAGTGTCTCCTTCTTCGACCGCCAGCAGGGAACAAAGGCCTCCTGCCGGTAACCCCTCCAGATCGGCAGCAAGTGTAGGAAGTAGCAGGATAGCACCCCCCATTAGACGGCTGTCCCGAGCCGAGATGGTAGAGCGGCGCGCAAGAGGGCAATGCTTCAACTGCGATTATCTGTACTCCTCTGGGCACAGGTGCAAGTTGTTCTGTCTTCTGGTAGATGAACCCGAAGAGGACGAGGATGAACCTGCAGCATCAGAACCAGAGATCTCCCTCCACGCCATCACAGGGATCAAAACTTACCAAACCATGCAACTAAGGGCGCTGGTAGCAGGGCAACCAGTTCGTATTCTCGTAGACTCCGGAAGCACCCACAACTTCGTCAGTGAACAGGCTGCCCGTCAGTTAGAGTTACCAATGGAAATCAGGCCGCAGTTACAAGTAGCCGTGGCCAACAGGGAAAGAGTTCACAGCCCCGGTATCTGCAAAGACACCGAAATTCAGGTCGGATCAGAATCCTTCCGTGTTGATTTGTTCGTACTCTCCTTGGATGAATTTGACATCGACCTGGGAGTCAAATGGCTGATCACTCTAGGGCCCATCCTATGGGATTTCAATGCCCTGACAATGACTTTCCACCTGGATGGAAAACCGGTTACATGGCAGGGAACCAGAATAAGAACAAAAACGCAGCTGCATACACTTCAAGGTGAGAACTCACGTGCAACAGATATGGAGAGGCTCCTCATTGATTTCGCTGCAGTATTCAAAGAACCCAAGGGGCTTCCACCTTCCAGAGCCTGCGATCATCGGATCCCTCTGATAGCCGGATCGGATCCCATCGTCACCCGACCCTACCGTTACCCACATCGACAGAAGGATGAAATAGAAAGGCAGTGCGCGGACATGTTACAGCAAGGGATCATCCGTTCCAGCCGCTCTCCCTTCTCCTCTCCGGTTCTGTTGGTACCAAAGCAAGATGGGACTTGGAGATTTTGTGTAGACTACAGAGAACTTAACAGTCGGACGGTCAAGGATAAATTTCCTATTCCCATCGTAGACGAGCTATTGGACGAGCTCCATGGCGCACAATACTTCTCAAAATTAGACCTCCGGTCGGATTACTTCCAAGTCCGAATGACTCCCGAAGATGTAGAGAAAACGACCTTCAGAACACATCATGGCCATTTCGAATTCCTGGTTATGCCATTCGGTCTCAGCAGCGCTCCTTCCACGTTCCAGGCCCTGATGAACGAGGTATTCCACTCCCACCTCCGCAGATTCGTCTTGGTGTTCTTTGACGACATCCTAGTCTATAGCAAATCGTGGGTAGAACACGTGCAGCATCTACGGATCGTTCTTCAACTCCTGCAACAACACCAACTCTTCCTTAAGCGATCCAAATGCTCCTTTGGGGAACGCCGGGTCCTTTACTTAGGACATGTGATCAGCGGGCAAGGGGTCATTGTGGATGACTCCAAGATTCAGGCGATCAAGGAATGGCCCAGACCGCAAACCCCAAGGCTCTCCGTGGGTTCCTAGGTCTGATGAGCTACTACCGCAAGTTCGTACAAAATTATGGACTTTTGGCGGCTCCACTAACCAATTTGCTCAAGAAAAAGGCCTTCCTCTGGGATAGTACAGCCGATGCAGCCTTTGTAAGTTTAAGAGAAGCCCTCTCCTCCACGTCGGTTCTACAGTTGCCAAACTTTGATCTCGAGTTCACTGTGGAATGTGATGCATCCGGCACCGGCATCGGCGCCATACTACAGCAGCAAGGGCATCCGATCGCATTCTTCAGCCGCAAACTGGCCGACCGCCACCTTAAGTTGCCCGCCTACGAACGTGAACTGATTGGACTGGCAAAAGCAGTGCAGCACTGGAGGCCGTACTTGTGGGGAAGATCCTTCGTCGTCAAGACGGACCACTACAGCCTCAAATATTTGTTGGAACAACGGCTTACCACCTCGCCGCAACAACATTGGGTCAGCAAACTTCTTGGGTTCGATTTCCGGGTGGACTACAAGGCGGGAACCTTGAACTGTGCCGCAGATGCCTTGTCTCGCCGAGAAGAAGACAATATGCTGCTCCATGCGATCTCACAGCCCCGAACCACCCTGCTGGAAGACATTCGGAACATACTGCCACAATCACCGGAGTGGAACGATCTGGTCAAGAGAATACAAGCCGGAACGACCAACCCAAACTGGTCCGTGCAAGATGGATTGGCACTATACAAAGGACGAATTTATCTCCCAACCGACTGTCCCTTAATTCCCTCCGTCATTTCCAGCATACACAACTCCACGCATGAAGGTGTCTAGAAAACATTGCACCGCATCCACGCTGACTTCCACTGGCAGGGTATGAAGGCTTCGGTGCGGGACTTCATTCAAAACTGCTCTATGTGCCAACAACAAAAGTCGGAAAACTTGCACCCAGCAGGCCTTCTCCAACCACTTGCACTCCCAACTCAGATCTGGGCAGATATTTCCATGGACATCATTGAGGGCCTACCCAAAGTTGGAGGGAAGTCGGTCTTATTTGTGGTGGTGGACCGTTTTTCCAAATATGCGCATTTCCTCCCCTTATCCCACCCTTACAGCGCGGTTTCAGTCGCCCACGCCTTCTTCACCCACATCTTCCGATTGCATGGGCTACCCGAATCCATCATAAGTGACAAAGACCCGATCTTTACTAGCACCTTCTGGAAGGAGCTATTTCGTCTGCAGGGAACAGCCCTGGCCTTCTCCTCCGCCTACCATCCGCAGACTGACGGCCAAACGGAGGTGGTAAACCGAACAATAGAGATGTACCTCCGCTGTTTTGTGGGAGACCAGCCCCGGCGTTGGGTGGAGTACCTTTCGTGGGCCGAATACTGTTACAACACGTCCTACCACTCCTCTCTTGGCATGACTCCCTTCCGGGTTGTTTATGGTCGGAACCCTCCACGTCTACTATCTTACGAACGCAGTTCAACACGGTTGGAAGAAGTGGATCGCAACCTACAAAATCGCGATGCCCTCTTGGCCGAAGTCTCCTTGCGCTTACAGCAGGCTCAGGCACGCATGAAGAATGCCTACGATCAACGCCACCAAGAAGTCACCTTCGAGCCGGGACAGTTCGTTTGGCTGAAGCTCCAACCTTATCGGCAGCTCTCCCTCATACGCAAAGCCTCCCCTAAGCTGGCTCCCAAATTCTACGGGCCCTTCAGGGTTTTGCGACAAATCGGGAAGGTTGCATATCAGCTCGAGCTACCAGAACATAGCAGACTCCATGATACCTTCCACGTGTCCCTACTCAAGCCTTTTACAAGGACTCCTCCTGATCAAGTACCTTCCCTACCCCCCTTGAAGGACGGCAGACCCATTCTCCAGCCTCGGGCTCTTGTCCGGTCCCGCATCAATCGGGGTACCTTAGAGGTCCTTGTGGAGTGGGATGGACTACCATCAACGGAGGCCACCTGAATCCCCTGGTTTGATCTTCACAACGCCTATCCGAATCTCGAGCTTGAGGACAAGCTCGTTGCCCAGGAGGGGTGTGATGTTATGGATGCATTCGTGGGAAAGACTTACCGCCGCCGCCGGCAGCAGCAATGAGGAGGGGCCCACACGACAGCTCATCAGGGGGCCCACACTTATCTTGCCACGACAGCTTTTCTTGCCAACTCGCCACCAGCTTACCTTATCACTTATCCCATCTATCCTTATCTTATGTTCTTAGTAAGAGTTTTGTTTACCATTAGAAGTAGGAGTTTGAGTTGGATTTAGAGAGGGATTATCCAAGCCTAGCCGAATACAATAAGGAACCCCCTCTTGTAATCTCCTATTTAAGGARYTGTGATTTRGAATAAAGCATTCAGTTTCCAGTTAAGAGAAGAGTGAGGAGAGTCCGGGTGGTCTCTTGGACAAATCACCCATTCGGTTTTCCACAATAGGGTTTGCACACAAGGGAAGGCGCAAGGGGAAGCAAGAGGTTCTCCCCGTGGTCCGACCCGTGACGAGATCCTACGCACGGGCCCATAATACTTTCAACAGTAAACCATTTTGTCTGTGTTTGAACATGATAAATTAGCATGTTCAAAAATTAAGGGGACTTTGCTGGTCCTGGAACCATGATTGGTGGTCCCAAAACCACCACCAACATAGCCAAACATACAAAATAGGATTTCTCATCCTAGAACCAGATGGTTAACAAAGAAAACCATAAAACACACCTTTGACTTGATGTTTACCATCTACATTAATCATTTGGCATATCCTGTTGACACTTAATTTCCTCAATACCCTTAAAAAAGATAAAAACAAACCTTTTTGAATGGTGTGACACCCCATGGGTTATCAAGCTGCTCTGACTCACCAGATATAACCAAACGTCCAGCTAGATCTGACTGAACATGTACCTAAAGATGCCGAAGGACAAACTCATAAATTTTATCTTCACCAAACTATTAATGAAGTAGCACAAAGTTATCAAATATTTTCAATCCACTTTTTTGACTGGTAATATTTTGAATCAACTTAATGCTCTTTTTACAGATAAGTATTTGACTTAAAACATTGTTTTAAACACAATCCACTTAACTGCCATAAAATATCTAAAATGTAAGTATGTAACTAAAAGCGAAGTTGAAATAGAAAAAGAAAAAAAAAATGATAATTTCCATCAGACATAGTCATACTATTCACTCAAACCTGAAAAAGTATGGTTTCAATGATTCCTTTTATATCAATAATGGTTTCAATGATTCTGTGGGTTGGAGAATGATAGAAGGGATCAAAACATGTTTACTAAAAACTATACAGTGACAAAAACAACCATTCTAACTTCACTCATCTCAGTAGCATGTCACAATTTCTCTACAATTCTACAAAATTTTACTGTTGTACAATTGAAATAGAATTTGATTGCATGGACTGCAGCAAGAGACTATATGTTCTTTTATTTTTCAGAATTAAAAATACAGTATAAATTTCAACAACTTTAACCACCATGATTGTGTTGCACATGCACAGCCAGAAAACCACAGGATGCCATCTGAGGTCTCATATGAACATCAGAGGCATAAAAAAAAGTAGTTTCTTTTTGTTATACAGTAACTCCCCACGCATTCATCAAAACAAAATGAAAAAAAAAAAAAACAAAAATCAGTAACTGCCCATGGAATCTGATACCATGTTCCTCGATATTCCATCACAATGCCACTAATTATCAGCTATAGTCTATAATACTCATAGTACAGATTGAAGCCAATCACAGCAGCAAACAAGGCAGCATGTACTGGTAAAAATAAGATCTGGATGAAGAGGAGAGGACTGCACTTACCTCCTCACGCAAGAGCCAAGGAACTAAAGCATAGACCTCAAAACAATCTTTCTGCAAAAACACATAGTTAGCCATCAATCAATAAAATTACAGTTGGCAGATGCTATAATCCATGGAGTAAAGGGAGCCAGATTAGCTTACAGTTTTCCGCACATTGATCTTCACCCAATCAGCTGAGGGTCCAACATCGACAACCATTGTGTCCATACTGGTAGGAAAACCCCAAATTAGCCCCAGCTTCAAGAACAGTGAAACCATTTACTGGGAACTCAAGCATCAAAGGCTTTTTTTTTCTTTCAGCAGTTTATCAAGGTAACACCTAAACAACAAAGATGCACTTTAAACATCTTGTTGCACCATGTCTAGGCACCACACCAGAGGTACAAAAACATACACCAACATCAGCACAAAAACTGAAAACAGAAACAAATGGTTGAAGATTTCTGTTCTAATTTCATTGAGAAGATCTGTACAAATATATACAACTTCTAAGTCTACGAGTTATTCTAGGAAACTAACCCACTAATTTAGCCTAAAGAAAAAAATGAAACTAAATCACAGCCTAAATAAGAAAATAAATAACTAAAAAAAAAAGGAAAGATTCTGACTCGGATTCCACAAGGAATAATCCTCGTCATCCCTTTCCAACACTCCCCCTCAAGCTGGTGA